GGGGTCCCATATGGCCAAATGCTTCCCTCCCCCAAGCCCCATCCAACATGCCCCCACCCCATTAATTTCCTGGATCCGCCCCTGGTGATACCTAGTCTTATAATTCCATTGAAACGACATCTTAGACGTACATCTCGACTAGGTTTTGAACACCCATACGTTTTTTATTTAGATTTGAACGGTTTAGGGTTTTTAATTAAGATTTAGAAGTCGGTTTAAAGATTTCAATAGTTTTATTTCATTTAAGGTGCTAGAAAACATCTCGTTCTTTACAACAACTCAGTAACAATAAATTTCTACATCAACTTCTGATTCAAGTTGCTTTTGATTATGCATCCACGTCTTCTTCTGCAAATACAGTGGTTCAAAAAGTGAACAGGGTACGTAACAATAGGTTTGAAGGTGGTACGATATTTCGTTCGACACCTGTGAAACCCCACAAAAGCTACAAGTTGAAAACCAAAATATTTGATTGGTGACGCTAATGTACAAACCTCATTGCACGTGCAACTTGTACTATTCATTTAATTTTGACTATTCAATTAGTTGACACAAATCTCAAGGGTCTCACCCCTTTAATTGCAGTAGGTCCCCATACTCAACTGTCGGCAGCTCACTCATAGTACTACTCTTTATGCACAATGTACTATGTAAACTATGGTGTTTTATGATCAATGGTTTTGACCCACTGATATGCTACAGAAACTTGTACATTGTGCATTACATACTTGTACTTTTTGCAACTTAAACTAATGACCTAATTAGCTGGTTGTATCCATGCTTTATATTTGCACACAATCATCTTTATGATTTGATATTAACCCTTCTTAATTTCCTTCCACCTTCCATTTGGCCTATGAATTCACTTTCTTTACTCTCTCTCTCTAGCTACCAACCTCTTCTCACTCTTAATTGTATGTATATGCATATATAACCTCCATCCCATCTTCAAAACCAAAAAAAGAAACATACCCATCTCTCCATTTGTCACCAATTCTATTGGGTGTCGATCAAAAATGGCTTTTTCTTCAAATATGGCCATATCTCCAAGAAAGCTTAGATATGATGTGTACTCGTATTCATATCAACATGACTCTAAAACCCCTTTGGTCATTTCAGTTCTTGCTTCCCTTATTGAAAGGACGTTGGCTAGAAACGAGAGAATTGGTAGAAAATGTGGGTACTTAAGTGCTAAACACATCAATGCTTCCAAAACTAGGGTTTTTGATTGCAACGAAACCCCAGATATGACGATTCAATCGTATCTTGAAAGGATCTTTAGGTACACCAGAGCTGGGCCGTCGGTGTATGTCGTTGCATATGTGTATATTGATCGGTTCTGCCGGTCACTGCCGGATTTCCGGATAACCGGCCGGAATGTGCATAGACTTCTGATCACAACAATTATGGTGGCTTCTAAGTATGTTGAAGACATGTAAGTATTCTTCTTCTTTTTTTTTCATTTATGATTTCATATCTTCTTTTAGTTGTACAAGATTTAATTGTTTAAATACATGACAAATGTTCTAAACTTCTAATAGCTTTTATTTATACTTGAACGTAGTACCGGTCAATATATATACCAATTTCATAAATTTTTTAATTAAAGCTATCGTTCAAGTCATGCATGAAATAATTAGTTATATTATACGACAAAAAAATATACGATTTACGCATCACCAACGGGGCCAAGTGTTTTAAAGATGGCAAGGTACAACATTTAATGCCATCGAACTGTCATCGCTCCTCAATAATACATCAAAGAATAAAAATGTAACGAAATATTCACTTAGAAATGAATTCATAGAAAATTATGGGATTTAATGTCTAATTTATATATTTTTCTTGCAGGAATTACAGAAATTCATACTTTGCAAGAGTTGGAGGCATAACAACAGAAGAAATGAACACATTAGAGCTCGAGTTTCTTTTCTTGATGAACTTCAAAATGCATGTAAATGTGAGTGTTTTCGAGAGCTACTGTTGCCATTTAGAAAGGGAAGTGAGCATCGGAGGTGGTTACCATATTGAGAAAACGTTACGATGTGCCGAAGAAATTAAATCTCAACAAAGAGGGTACAATCAGATCGCTCGAATCACTTTGTAAATCGAAGCCTTTTTTTCGTGTTTCTTTATGTATAATTAAATAGAAATATATGTACAAAGAAAGTCTTGAAGGGTTTTTTTGCTTCAAACAAAGTTTACTTGTGATTGACTACAAAATTGATGTTGGTGTGTGTTCAAATGGGATCTAAGATTTGTTCATAGCTTGACCTTTTTTTTCAAATACATAAAGAAATCAAGAATACAACATGTCATTTAATCTAAAGAAGTGTAAAACAAGTTACACAATTAGTCTTGAGTTACATTTTATTATATAAATTATTTAAAATTTAAACTATTTTAGATAATTTCTAATAAAACTATTTAAACAATTTGAGTTACTCAACCACAAAGGGTGGTGCCTGATTGGTTTGAGCTCGACTCCAAAGGTCAAAAATACCATGAGGTCACAAGTTCAAATCCAGTGAGGAATAAAACTCTCTTGTGACCACGAAGGTTCAAATGCTGTGACTCCGAGCTATCTGCAAAACAAATGATCGTCCTGAGATTAATCGGCTCGCATAACATGTTAGATATCCAGGTTAATAAAAAAATTGTCTTAAAAACCAAATTTTAGTATAAGATTATATTTATAGTGGGCATTAATTAATAATTATAAGAAGACATTAATTAGGACCACTTTTATTTTATTAATAATAAAAAGCATATGGAAGCTATTTAAGATATGCAACTAAAAAAAAGAATCTAATAAATAGAAAAAATTGTGACCCCAATAATGGATGTAACTTATGCTCCAATAAGCTTCCCAAACCAGCCTGTTTTGTTTAGCTTTATATTATGTAGCATGCTAATTAATGCCATTTTTTGAAATGATTGAAGCAACTTTCCTAATTTATTTAAATAAAATATCAGTATCTATGATTAAAAATCAATTAAATTATGTATTATAATTGTAATCATATGTTGGATTTGATTCACACTAAGATTTTATTAGAATAATTTAATTAAAGTCTTATTTTTGGTATTTCAAATGGTTAAAGATCTTCAAATGATCTCCATTTCATTTGCTATGGATCTTTTATTTTTGGTTTGTTGTGTTTTATCCAACCTAGGTAGATCTATTTGTTTGTATATGTATATGTTAATTTTTAATAAGATCCTGTAGCCAATAAAAACGATGACGGTTTGATAAGACAGTGGTTTCAGGTATTTCAATAATTTTGAACTTTAAAGTTTGTGTGTTTTGAATTGGTGTGATAAATAAGTAATTTAGTGTAATTACCACTGATCAATAAGACGGGATAAATAAAATATACAGGTAATGCCCTTTCTTATCAGTGTGAAATGTTAAACATAAATTTATAATTCTATTATTTAACGGGTATGTTATTATTAGTAAGTAAGTAATTAGAGAATGACTTTTATGTAATGGTATAATTAACACTTAGACTTAATATATAATTTAAAGAAACATTTAACTATTAATTAAATATCTAAAAATGTCTCGGCAAAACTGTTGATGATTTTAGTGTCATCAAGTATTTTTTTTGTGTAATTGTGATTTACTCAAGATCGATTAAGGCGATGAGGTAAAAATACGTAAGTTAGGAGATGTGGAGTGCATACTTGCAAATGTTGCATCTATCACCTTTGATCACTATAAAGTGGGGGTTGTCCCCTTTGCAGGGTCCTAGGGGCAGCGCCCCTGATGGTGGTCCCTTTTCGGATCTAAGTTTTGAAGACTTAGAAATTTCACTAAGTCGTGTGTATTCAGCTTTCACTTAGCCATTATTGAATGTGTGTATTTGGCTGTCGTTGATTGGCCTTCAGATGTCGTTGATTGGTCTTCAGCTTTCGTTGATTTTGTCTTCAACTGTCGTTGAAGGTCTTCAGCTATCTTGTCGTTGAATAAGCCTAACGCTAAACCTGCCTATTGCTGAATGTGTATGTTCACTGACGACGCTAACCTGCCTATTGCTGAATGTGTATGTTCACTGACGACGCTAACCTGC